TCTTTTCTAATAGGTATGTGCATGTGCATTGTGCGAAAGGGAGAGAGAATTGGGGGAGGGGCGTAGGATTACCAACTTCTTATTTCGTCAAGGGCATTCAAGATAAAAAACAAAAATGCTATCTAGTATCTCTCACATTTTTACTTAATTATAAAAAGGACATGTAACACCGGAGAGTGGAAGAGCTCTATACTCCATGGTGCCTGGACTAGCATTGGGGAAACACTTGCTTGGATGGAGGCTTCTTAATCCCAGGCTTCTCTGCAAGTGTCTCCTTGGGCCATTCTTCAGCAGCCTGAGCTGTTGCACCATCACCTCCCCAATCCCTGTGCACCAAGACAATTCCCATCACCCCTGTACTGGGGTATGAAGCAGGTGGGCAATGTAAAGTGCATCCTAGGTTGGAATGGGGAAGAAACCAGAAGGGAACTGTCTGGGACATGGGGGTCGCTCATTCCTCACTTTTCCTGCCAGTAATTCGTGGCTAGTTGACCTACTGATGGTCGGAGTTTCTTTCCTGCTGACACCGCACCTCAGATCCTTTCGTCTTTAGACCAGACTCTGCCTTTCCATGGCTCCAAAGCCACGGTGACATTTTCCAAGCCCAAAGATGGGCCTTAATCTGGCCATGCGCCCCCAGACCGGCCTGTCCATCCCAAAAGACCAGCGGACTGCCTCCCCTGTCCCCCATCGTCCCCCGCCCCCGACTGCACCACTGTCTGGGTGTCCTGAGCAGCCAAGTGGATCCCTACATTGGGGGCGGGGGGTGGGGTGGGCACTTCTCTGGCGCCTTCTTCTTCCGCAGTCCTGGAGCTTCCGTTGGCCCGGAAGCCCTGGCTCGGGGGAAGTTTCAGTCTCCATGCGGAACCTACTCAGCCCTCAGGCCCCTGGGCGCCGAGCTGCGGGCCCTGTGGGAGTAGAGTAGGGGACTCACCCCTCCCCACCGGCCAACCCCCGCCACCCACGGCCGCTTACCTGGTCTTTTGGTGGAGTAAACTGGCGTGAGGATTTGTTCACAGTGCGGGTCTCGCTCACCTCACCGATGGGCCAAACAGGATGGGGGTTGGGGTAATCTGGAGTGAGCGGTTCTGAATTCGAATTCCAGCTCTGCCATTACCAACAGGGTGACTTTGGGTAAGTTATTTCTCCTTTCTGGTTTTCCCATCTGTAAAACGGAAATAATAATTGTAGCTCCACCTGTGGGATTATTGAAAGGGTCCCATGAGATATGCCCGGGGAAGATCGCACTACTATACTTGCAGATACCAAAAAAAAAAAAAGCTGCCCAGGAGTCATTCAGACTCATGGCGACCCCATGTGTGTTAAAGAACTGTGCTCCATAGGGTTTTCAATGGCTGATTTTTCAGAAGTAGATGCACGGCCTTTCTTCCAAGGAGCCTCTAAGCGTGGGAGGTCCACCAATCAACCACCAGTCTTTCGCTTAGCAGCCAAGTGCCTTAACAGTTTGCATCTCCCAGGGAGTCTAATCCTACAGATAGATAGCACTAAATAAACATCAGCTATGCTCTAGAGCCTGGAAGAAGCCCTGAATTTCTCTGACTCCTCAGAACCTAGTGGTTCACTCCTGCTTCCCCAAGATCCTTGCCCACCTACTCTCCCAACCCTCCAAACTGCCTCTCACCCACATGTCTGGCACATACACTCTAATAATCACCTTCAGGCCTCCCTTGCACTAGCATTCATCTCCCCTGTTTCCACCTTCCCATAATAAGGCTGTCTGCACCTCTCACCAGCACCAATGGTATCCAGTCCGGGCTGGTTTTAAACTCTTCAAAGAGGTCGGCACTCCATGGAGGCAAGGACTGGAGGTGGTGGGATAGGGATGGTTCTAGTGGCATACTTTGAGCTAGATAAGTCATCTGTCCTGTTGTTTTGATTCTATACTCACCAAGGCAATGCCTTTCTAACTCATAAAACTTTAAAAGGCCAGGACCATGTTTGGCATCTCCTCACACCTTTTCACCACCCAGAACCCCTGGAAAACACTGAGTAATATTCAGAGACAACAGGAAGGGCTGAGAGACCATGGACAACTAACTTATTTTATCACCTGTCACACAAGGCATGTAACAGGCCCTTATAGTCAGAACTCCATCTGTTCTCAAGGTTCAGAACACAAGGGGCCTTTATTGTCTTAGCTGGGGCTGGGCAAAGATATAGCTGGAGAGGATTTGAACCAGGGGGTGGGGGTATACAGCATTGATCTCCCTACCCCCAACCCAGATTTTTATTCTCCAGGTGGCAGGGAAAATAGTTACCAACAACTTCCAGGTACAGTGACTCTGTGTATTCCTTCCCTTTTCTTTTGTTGCTGCCTGCGTCGTTCGATATTTTCCTCATAGTATCCTTCAAAATTGCAATTCAAGGTTTGAATTTTTCTTCAGTTCTTTCAGCTTGAGAAATGCTTAGTGTGTTCTTCCCTTTTGGTTTTCTAACTCCAGGTCTTTGCACATTTCATTATAATACTTACTTTGTCTTCTTGAGGTGCGGTTTGAAATCTTCAGCTCTTTTACTTCATCATTTCTTCCATTCACTTTAGCTACTTTATGTGCAAGAGCAAATTTCTCAGTCTCTTCTGACAATAATTTTGGTCTTTCTTTTCTGTCTTTTTAACGACCTTTTACTTTCCTCATGTATGATGTCCTTGATGACATTCCACAACTTGTCTGATCTTCTGTCATTAGTGTTCATTGTGTCAATTCTTTTCTTGAGATGGTCTCTAAATTCAGGTGGGATATACTCAAGGTCATATTTTGGTTCTCATGGACTTGCTCCGATTTTCTTCAGCTTCAACTTGAACTTGCATATGAGCAATTGATGGTCTTTTCCACAGTTGGCCCCTGGCCTGTTCTGACTGATGATACTGAGCTTCTCCATCGTCTCTTTCCACAGATGTAGTCGATTTGATTCCTGTGTATTCCATTTGGCCAGGTCCGTGTGTATAGTCGCTGTTTATGTTGTTGAAAAAAGGTATTTGCAATGAAGAAGTCATTGGTCTTCAGAAAATTCTATCATGTCATCTCTGGCGTCGTTTCTATCACTAAGGCCATATTTTCCAACTACTGATCCTTCTTCATTTCCAACTTTTGCATTCCAATCACCAGTAATTATCAATGCATCTTGACTGCATGTTTGATCAATTTCAGCCTGCAGAAGTTGGTGAAAATCTTCAATTTCCTCATCTTTTGCCTTAGTGGTTGGTGCGTAAATTTGAATAATAGTCGTATTAACTGGTCTTCCTTGCAGTCGTATGGATATTATCCTATCACTCACAGCGTTGTACTTCAGATCTTGAAATGTTCATTTTGATGATGAATGCAATGCCATTCCTCTTCAATTTGTCATTCCCTGCATAGTAGACCATATGATTGTCCAATTCAGAATGGCCAATACCAGTGCATTTCAGTTCACTAATGCCTAGGATATCGATCTTTATGTGTTCCATTTCATTTTTGACGACCTCTAATTTTCCTAGGTTCATACTTCGTACATTCCACGTTCTGATTATTAATGGATGTTTGCAGCTGTTTCTTCTTATTTTGAGTCACGCCACCTTAGCAAATGAAGGTCCCGAAAGCTGACTCCATTCACATCATTAAGGTCAACTCTACTTTGAGGAGGCAGTTTTTCCCCAGTCATATTTTGAGTGCCTACAACCTGAGGGGTTCATCTTCTGGCACTACATCAATGTTCTGCTATTCATCAGGTTTTCACTGGCTAATTTTTCCGGAAGTAGACTGTCAGGTCCTTCTTAGTCTTAGTCTGGAAGCTCCAGTGAAACCTGTCCACCATGGGTGACCCTACTGGTATTTGAAGCATCAATGGCATAGCTTCCAGCATCACAGCAACATACAAGCCACCACAGTATGACAAACTGAGAGGTGAGTGGTGGATGACTAATCTACCAGGTACTATTTGGCCTCTTTGTGTCCTTCTCCCAGCACTTGTGAAGAGTTGATGTCCTCTACTGTATTGATTCTCAGCCTTGGTTGCACATTAGAATCCCTAGGAACTTGTAAAATCCCAACATCCAGCCCATACCCCACACCAATTACATCAACTATCTGAGTTTGGGATGGAGGCATCAGTATTTTTAAAGCTCCCCAGGTGATTCCAATATGCAACCTAACTTGAGAATTCCTGCTGTACTGTGTCTTGTTGCAACTAGGAGCCATGGGATGGGGGAGGAGTGAGGAGGGCAGTTGTTACACTATGGATTTGGGTGACCAGCTGTCCTGATTTGCCTGGGACTGAGGGTTTCCCAGGATGCAGGACCTTCAGTGCTAAAACCAAGAAAGTCCCAGCAAACAGAGATGAGCTGGTCACCTTACAGTGAGTCTACAATGATGCAGTTGCACCTTAGTGAGTTCTAACAGCTTGGTGAACTAGTCTGTCCATAAGCAATACTTTTACCCAAAGAACAGAGGCCCCACTTTGGTACTGTTGGTACTGCCAAACAAACTCTTTTCTCCCCTTTCCTGGCCTCCACAAACACCTCTACCCTTAAAGCCAGGAATTTGACCCTGCACACTTACCTTGATCCCAAATGCCCTTCCCTACTACCTTTGTCTGCCTATCAGAATCCCACCCAGCCTTCAAGCCCAACTCTTCAAGTGCTGCCTCATCCCTGAAGCTTCTCAGACCTTACAGAAAGGAAGGGCCCTTTCTGTAGTGTGTGTATGTGAGGGTGGGGGGCAGGAGGGGAGAATGTTAAGGAGGAGAGAGCTAAAGAGTTCTGAGTGTCAAGTAGAGCAACTGGGCACACTAGCTTAGAGCTCAGCCTTGACCTCATAGAGTCTAAGTCCACACCCAGGGCATCCAGATACCAGGTCAGTCCTTACAGCAAATGTGACCCTTATTTAATGTTGATAATGACATATAAGAATGGTGGAGAAAGGAATGTGGCTGAGTACAGACAGGAGAGTTAAGACAAACAAGAGACTTTGGTTTCCAGTAAATTGATTCATTACATTCACGTGTCACATTGAGAAATTACTTGGTTTAGAAAATGTGCTCATTTATTAAGTGCATTTATGTCGTAAAACACAAAGAGATTCAGTAGTCTGCAGGACACTGAGAGGCAAAGTATTGGTCCAAGGAGACCCAAAAGCCACTTCCATCTACAGTTATAACAAACAGGACAGGTGAAATATAGGGAAATCTACTGGGTTCAAAGCTCACTCTACTGCTTTCCTGATCTACAAGTCTGAATCCAGGATTCCCTGATTCTTTTTCCATGACCTAACTCATTCCGTTTTCAGAGGATGAATTTGGAGATTTGGAAAGCAAACCATAGCATCTCCCTCTGATGTAGATTCTTGATATCAAACTAGTGCTAGTTAGGTTTCATTTTCATCATCATCTTTATAGTGTTGCATTATACCTCCTTCATGTATTCTCTGTCAGATAACAAGGCTTTCTGTAACAGGGCTTTGCCCATATTCATCATTCCTCCAAAGTGAACTCACTGATGCTGAATAAGGTGGGAATTCCATCTACCGGTTTTCATGCACTGAACATATCTGTGAGGTTTGTCCACCATGTGGATTTTCAGACTGAAGGCCTTCCCACACTCACTACACTCATAGGGTTTCTCCCCAGTGTGGATTGTCTGATGCTCAACAAGAGTTGAACTCCAACCAAAGGCTTTACCACATTTCTTTCATTCATGGTTTCTCTGTTGTATGAATTCTCAGATGATCAGTAAGGTATGAACTATACTTGACTGTTTTCTTACATTCTTTACTTCATAGGGTTTTATTCCACCATGAGTTTTCTTATGCTGAATAAGGTGAGAGTTCCAACTAAGGGTCTTCCCACATTGAATACATTCATAGGGTCTCTCTCCAGTGTGAATTCTATGATGTTTAATAAGGAGTGATGTTCTACTAAAAGATTTCCCACACTCATTACAATTATAAGGAGTTTCTCCTGTATGGACTCTCTGATGTTCAATGAGGTGTGAGTTATGACTATAAGTTTTCCCACAATCATTACATTCATACGGTCTCTCTTTGGTGTGAACTCGTTGATGTTCTATCAGATTAGAGCTCTGGCTAAAGGCTTTCCCACATTCATTACATTCATAGGGCTTCTCCCTTGTGTGGATTCTCTGATGTTGAGTAAGACTTGAGCTTCGACCAAAAGCTTTTCCACATTCATTACACATATAAGGCATCTCTCCTGTATGAATTATCTGATACTGAATAAGGTGTGAGCTTCGCCGGAAGGTTTTCCCACACTCACTGCATTCATAGGGTTTCTCTTCAGTATGTATTCTCTGATGATGAATCAGGTTTGAACTATGGTCAAAGGCTTTTCCACATTCATGACACTTATGAGGTTTCTCTTGCTTATGAATTCTTTCATGCTGAATAAGGTATGAGTTACGCCTAAATAATTTTCCACATATATTACACATTTGAGATTTCTCTTCAATAACAATTTGTGGCTGTTGGATAAAGTTTGAGATATTACTAAAGTTTTTTTCATAGTCGTAGGGTTCTTCTCTATTAAAGGATTCCCTCATGTTTGTTTTGTTCACATTGTTCACATTCATCTCCTTTATGTAGTTGTATCCTTACTTCAAGAGCTTTCTGCTTTATAATCCATTAATCTTCAGTCCAGGTCTCACCATCTGACAAAAAATATTAAAAAAGGTAAATGTAACAGTAAAAACTCCAGGTGGAAAAAAGATGATCAAAGTATTCTAGAAATATTTGACTCAAAAAGTATGAAAAACGGTCTTACAACATTGGGAAAAAATGGAAACAAGTCAAGCAGATTTGGAGAAAGTGATAGATAGGCTAAAATTAGGATTTATATATTAAGTAACTAACCTAAACAGATATACTAGGATTAGCAGGAGAGCAGAAAGAGGAGAGCCTCACTCTTGAGGTTCTGTCCATATGGTATACTCTGGTCTGTGGACTGTCTCTGTCGTAATAGGAAAGACTCCCTTGACATAATCAAGACACCCACCTCACTACTACTGCTGAGAGTATCTCTCCTTATACACAGATGCTCATACACTCACTCGTGAACACAGACGCACTCATACCTTACATGCACATTTTGGAAATAGTGCAAATTGGGAAGGAATAGGAGAAAAAGTTGTTTAAAACATGAAGCCTGAGGTAGAGAGAAATATTTCCATATCTATTCAAACTCAGAGAGAACATACACAAAGCACTCTGGCTGCATCCAAGGGAGGCATGATAGAAAAACATCTCCTGTTTATTTTAATACATTTCTCCTCTAAATTTTACTTATTAAATATGGTTTACTGAAGCTAGAGAAATTGTTTTACAGTGATATTAGAGAATGAGTCAGAATTGACTCAACAGCAACAGGTTTGGTGTTTTTGGTTTAGGCCTTCTACTTAGAAGGGAGTGCTCAGGAACATCTGATGCAGCATTGACATCAGCAGTGAAAGCCAAAAACGTACACAACCCCAATTTTATAAGATAACGGTCACTGCCTTTAAGGAATTTAATAATGATCTGTGATAGCTTATCAGATAATCATATTTATGCGTGTTCTCCACTGACAGGTATGCCCTCATCTTCTGTACATTCAGTTTGGATACTGGTTTTTACATCCTCTTGCACATGTGTTTACCTTATGTCAGATAGAGACCTCAAGTTCCTGGAGAGCAGAGACTGAAATGTCTGATAAAGGCATCAGATCTAAATATTAGTCAGGCAAGTCAGTTTTTTTTTTAGCAAGATACTATAATAAACTATGGCTACAAATACAGATCACTAGCTGATGCCTAGAACAGCACAGTCCAATAGAACTTTCTGCAGTGAAGGGAATGTTCTACATCTGCGCTGTCCAGTATGGTAGCCAATAGCCCCATGTGGCTATTGAGCACTTGAAATGTGGCTTGTGACTAAGGAACTGAATTCAGTTGTATTTCAATTTAATTTAAATAGCAAGTGGCTACTCTACTGGACAGCACAGCTCTGTTGTTGTTGGTGTTAGGTGCTGTTGAGTCGGTTCTGACTCATAGCGACCCTATGTACAGCAAAACAAAACACTGCCAGGTCCTGTGCCATCTTCACAATCGTTGCTATGTTTGAGCCCACTGTTGCAGCCACTGTGTCAGTCCATCTCATCAAGGGTCTTTCTCTTTTTCACTGACCCTCTACCAAGTATGTCCTTCGCTAGGGATAACATGTCCAAAGTACATGACATGTAGTGGACATGTCCTGATAACATGTGCAAAGTACATGAGATGAAGTCTCGCCATCCTTGCTTCTAAGGAGCACCTCTAGAGCTTTCTAAATCTGCCAAATTTGTCCTTTAGGGCTTGGGGCACCCAAACTTAGAAGTCCTTAAAAACTTCGTGCATTAAATAAGATGAAACACTAGACAGAGCAGATAACAAATATAGTCTCTTATCAACTCATCAACATGTGAAAAAAACCTATAATGTGGGCATGCTTCTACTTGGATTCGGAATACTTCACAAAGCAGTAGACTATCCTTCTGTACTTGGCTTAGGCACATCTTAAAATGAGGGATTTCTTCTCTGTCTACCATTTTCTGGTCCCTACCTGTCTTTCCAGCTTCGTTTCAATCTTCTCCCCTACACAAAGCTTCTTCTACTGTCTGCTGAGCCACTCTATTCATTATCTCCCACAACATGTTAAGGCTTAGACATTCCAGTCAATGTGCCTTTTACTTGGGCCACTGCCAGAGATTTAACAGCTTGCCCAACATATTGACTATAAATCCTACTGCTCTCAAGCCCTGTTCAAGTATCACCTTCTCCATGAAGCTAAAGATGATCCTTCTCATAACCCTTAGACTGCTTCTCATCTCTGTGAATCATATAATACTTCATTTATTCATGTCCATTCAGTACAGTTTATTGAGCACCAACAACATGCCAGGTACAGTTCCAGACTCTAAGTTATATTGATGAACAAAACATAGATCCTGCTCTCTAAGATCTTTCATTTTAGTGGGGGAAAATGGACAATAAACTACATGAATTACATACTACAGAGAAAAAAAGCACAGCATGAGAATTAGAGTGCTGGGGGAGGGAGTGAGGAGATTGGTTGCAACTTTAAATACCATAGTGCGGTGCAATGGATCACTTTTGTATAGCCTTTTTCATCATGGTCTTGTAACTCTCACTGAAGTGATTAGGTGGGACTGTACAAATAAGGTAATTGTGTCCCACCAAGGGGATTGGGCAGTTTTTGCCATCCCTCTGGGCTTGAAATGAGCCATCCCAGAGGCAGGAAAAAGAAGATCTCACCACCACTAAGGAAGGAGAGACCAGCAGGAGAGACTGGCAGGAGATGGTGTGGTGGGCTTCCCTGCCCATGGAGCGAGAAAGCTGAGTGCCTTTGGGCAGGAGTCTTGCTGGCAGAGTAGGGTGCCTCCAGGCACTCATTGTCAGAGCTAAAAGAGCTTTATAACACTTACCTGAGCAGGGCAGAGGCCAAGGGCCAGGGAGAGAGGCCTGCCTGTGAGCAGGACTGGGAAGAGGCTGTCCTGATGGAAGAACTGTATTCTTGAGTGTTCCTGAACCTGAACTGTAACCTGTTACTTCCATAATAAACCCCATAATCGTGAGGATTGTCTGTGAGTTCTGTGTGGCCACTGTAATGAATTATCAAGCCCAGCAAAGAAGTAGAGAGTGCCATGGGAGGGATGGGGTTGGTGTCAGAATTGGTAAAGATGGTGAAGAGGGGAAGCACGTCTGACGTCTGCCTAATAGGTATCAGCCTAGGACTGTTGATCTTGATTCTCATTCCTCCTTGTGAACTTAGAGGAGGTCAGACACTGCCCCCATGCCATTGTTACAGTTGGTGTCACAAGTGGGATTCTTTGCAATGGCTCCAGACTCAGGGAAGCATGGAATTTTCTAAGAGAAAGAATGAAGGGGCTTGGGAAATAAAACTTTTGATTCTTAGATATTTACTGTGTTTGTTGAGGGGAGAAAAGCTTTGGCAAAAGCCAGGCCAGATAAGCAGGATAATTGATAGGGGGCCAAGGTTTGCCAGTTCCACCTAGCCAGAAGCCCAAGGCCATATACATATGAATGAGAAAATAGTCAAGGGGTAGAGAAGAAAAGATGAAACTGGAATGTTTTAGAAAGGGTTATGTGTTTAAGATAATGTGTTTAATTGAATGTACTATGGATGTTGAATGTTTCTCCTAACAGTGTTGTAAACCGGACCTAAATGTATAATAGAAATAAATACTGGATATTATAGATTACAGAGACTGTGTAACTCCATCTTCAGCCAATACCTGATTGGATATGCTAACAGGGGAACTAGGATTTGCCCAAGGGAAACACAGGCTTTTTAAATGCAGTAGCCCTGTGTATAGAGTGGGGGCTTAGGTTGAAAACCTGAACCCCACCCAGATTTTACATTTGAAAAGACATGCAGAACCACCTAGAACCGGTGAGAGAATAGGAAATACCCATTTGAAAGAAGGACCTGCAGGAAAAAAAGTGACTGTTTTGCTTTTTGAATTTCGAGCAAGTGGTTTGCTGTTGGATGCATTGAGGCAAGGAAAGTCAGTGCCCATCAGATGGAAACCCTTTACAGGACTAGAAGTTAAAGGGAGCCAGTGAGTAGACAGCTTGGTATGCTCACTTGTGGTGACCATCTGGGTCCACTGAATGGAAGTGGGGGAAGTGCAGCAATGAAGAGACATACTGAGTTTGGACATGTTCCATTAGTATCCATTGACCTAGCCCACAGGGGCTACGGACGACAGAGAAAGGGCTGGTTGTTCAGAAGTAAAGGGAGTTGTGTGGACTCCTGAAGTTTATGGGTGGAACCCATTGACTTAGCCCAAGAGGGCTAGGGAAGAGAGAGTGTGAAAGAGCTGTCTAAAGTGCTGAGAGGTGTGTGTGAACTCTCAAACCTAAGGCTGCTACCCACTGTAAGCTAGCTTAGATGGCTAAAGTTGAGCTGACCAGAACCCAACCAAATGAAGAGAAAGATGACTGACACTGTGAGCTAGTATAGACTGCTGCAATTTGATGGCTTGCTCTGGACTGGACTTTGCTTATGGATGCAGATGCTCAGAGTTCCAACTGGAACAGAAGATTCTTCAAGACCAAGGAACATGCTTTGATAGGGATGGGCAATTTAAACATTAGCTATATAAAATGGGGGGAAATAAAGGCATAAAGTGGCTGGCTTACACACTTTTGTAAATGTGCTTATGTTAAATGAGGGGGACAAGGGAGAATCCCTACTGAATAGATTCCTCTTTTCTTGACAGGTCTGTGGAAGAGAGGGTGGGAGAGGACACTGATAAGATTATATGATTCATTTGTGAGTGTTGTTAACAGGGTTAGTTGTGATTGTAAAAACTGCAGTTGTAAAAGCTGTAAGTGTGAAAGAGTAGACCAAGGGAGAGGCACAGCTGGACGAGAGTACAGTGGACAAACCTGAAGTCCCTTAAAGGTTTTGCTGTGCTGATACCTCTTAAGGCTCAGAGCAAGGGAATAACCTTCTCTCAGTTAAATTTTATCAGACACTGAAAAAGGGTGAAGCTAAGATGACTTTTGGAGAACCTGACCAGATCAGATGGACACCTGCAGCCGATCTGAATTGCTGGTACCTGAGTAACCTCATCCTTAGTACTCTTTGCTCTACTGCAAGACTAATTGTTAATGACTGTTGTAGACTGGTAAATGGTTGGGAGGAGGAAGTTATCCTCCAAGTATGAAAGAACCATGGCTAGAAAAGCTAGGGGGTGGCCTGTGGTGCGATGGACCACTTTTGTGTGGCCTTTCTCACCATGGTCTTGGGTGGGATTGTGCAAATAGGGTAATTGTGTCCCATCAAGGGGATTGGTCAGTTTTTGCCATCTTGCTGGGCTTAAAATGAGCCATCCCAGAGGCAGGAAAATGAGGATCCTACTACCACCAAGGAAGGAGAGACTGGCAAAAGATCATGCGGTGGGCTTCCCAGCCCACGGAGTGAGAAAGCTGAGTGCCTTTGGGCAAGAGGTTTGCTGGCAGAGTAGGGTACCTCCAGACACTCTTTGACAGAGCTAAAAGAGCTTTGGAACACTTGCCTGAGCAGGACAGAGGCCAAGGGCCAGGGAGAGAGGCCTGCCTGATGGAAGGCAGGAGGGCTGGGAAGAGGCCGTCCTGATGGAAGAACTGTATCCTGAGTGTTCCTGAACCTGAACTGTAATCTGTTAATTCCCTAATAAACCCCATAATCTTGAGTATTGTCTGTGAGTTCTGTGTGGCCATTGTAATGAATTATAGAACCCAGAAGAGAAGTAGAGAGTGCCATGGGAAGGATGGTTGGTGTCAGAATTGGTAAGGATGACGGAGGGGAGGCATGTCTGATCTCTGCCTCATAGGTATTAGCCTTGGGCTGTTGATCTTGATTTTCCTTCCCCCTGTGAACTTAGAGGAGGTCAGATACCACCTCCAAGCCATTTTTACACATAGAGAATGACTCACTAAAAAAATGATATTTAAGCAAAACTTGAAAGAAATAAAGGTACCGATATCTTGGGAAAGAGCATTACACATAGAGCAAATAGCAAGTGAAAAGGCCCTGGTGTTCAGTGAATAGCAAGGAGGCAAGTTTAACTGGAGCAGAATGAGCTGGGGGGAGAGTAATAAGAAATGAGGTCAGAGACATAAGAAGGGGATCAGATAACACAGGACCCTGTAGGCTACTATAAGAGATTGGCTTTTACTAAGTGAGATGGAAAGCCACTAGAGGGTTTTGACCAGAGGACTGACATCATCTGATGTCTTACTAGGATCACTCTGGCCACTATGTTGGGTTGAGACTGTTGGGAGGCAAGAGTAGAGGCAGGAAAACTAGTTAGGAGGCTATTACAATAATCCAGGTGAGAGATGATGGTGACTTGGACCAAAATAGTGGCAGAAGAGATGATAAGAAGTATTTAGATTTTGAAAAAAATGTTGATGGTCAAGTCAAGGATTACTGACTGATGGATATGGATGAGAGCAACAAAAGTTTCTGTGTTGAGTAACTGGAAGGATAGCATTACCATCTTCTGAGAAGGAGAATATTTGTAAATCAGCTATAGCATCTCCAGTAACCTAAAAAGACACTTCCATTTGGCTCTCCTACCAGTCTCTTGAGATTGCCAGGTCCAAACCTACTCCTCCTTCTGGTGTATGAGTATTCATTGTAATATTCTTGCAACTTTCTTATAGCCTTAACATTTTTCAAAATAAAAAGTGTGAAGGGGTATGGGGGTGTATTAATCAATGACTCCCTTCTCTGTCCCCACATCCATTCAGAAATCAAGTACTATTACTTCTACCTACAACATACTTCTTGATTTTTTTCCTACCTTTTTGTTATCTCTCTTAATGTCCTACCTCAGATCCTAATCACTTCTCATCTAAGGCTTTCCTAATTGGCCTACAAGTCCCACATGTTTTGCCACACACACACACACACACACACACACACCCCGCCCCATGCCACACAAGGCAACACTGTTAGATTGTTCTCATCTGCTATCCTCCTGTTTAAGAAAAGTTAACATACCTCAATATCTGACAAACAAATTCTAACCTTTTTGGCCTGGCATTCATTTTCCATCATCTTACTCCACTTGTGTTCAGTGCTCAGGTGCTTGATTAAGGTTGGGGGTGGTATACTGGGTTGAATAGTGTCCCCCTAAAAATTCATGTCTGCTCAAAACCTCAGAATGTGATTATTTGTAAATAGGGTCTTTACAGATGTAACAAGTTAAGATCACAGTGGATTAGAGTGGGCCCTAAATTCAATGATTAGTGCCTTTTAAGAGAAAGGAGAGGCAGATTCAGACACAGAGATACACAGGGAAGAAGGCCCTGTGATGATAGAGGGAGAGATTGGAATGATGCATCTATAAGCCAAGGAATGTTAAGGATGGCTAGGAACCACCAGAAACTAGAAAGAGGCAAGGAAGAACTTTTCCCTAGAGGCTTCAGAGGGGGCATGGTCCTGCCAACACCTTGGTTTCAGACATCTAGTCTCTAGAACTATGAGAGAATAAATTTCTATTGTTTTAAGCCACCCAGTTTGTGGTACTTTGTTACAGTGGCCCTAGGAAACTAATATACTTCCTGTTTGATGTCGCCAGTCAACAAACATTTATGTAACACCTGTGGAGCCCTGGTGGTGCAGTGATTAAGAGCACGACTGCTAACGAAAAGGATGGCAGTTCAAATCCACCAGCTGCTCCTTGGAAACCCTACAGGGCAGTTCTACTCTCTCCTATAGGGTCACTATGAGTCGGAATCGACTCAACAACAGTGGGTTTGTTTTTTGTTTGTTTGTTTGTTTTTATATCTGATAAGGAAAAATAGCAGTGGGTAAAATACCCTGAAAAAGCAAGAGGCAGACCAGGAGAAAATAGTACTTCAAGAACCAAGGAATAAGAGTTGTGAGGAGGAGTGATCCCATTGACAAAAAATACAAAGAGGTCAAAAAAATAAGGGCTGGAAATCTGTGTCCAGTGGATTAGGTAGTTAAGCCACTGGCAACTTGAATAAAACCAGTTCTGATGGAACAGAAACAGTGTCCTGGGTTGAGAAGTGTGGCAACTGAGAAGATAACAGCAACTAGTGAAGATTATTTTTTAAGAGATAGGATAGTGAAGGGAACAAAGGAGATCGTACCCAACTTCCCCTACTGCTCTATTAGCCACCAAGTCCTGCATGTTTTTTCTGTAAATGTCTCTTGCATCTGTTTGTTCTCTTCCTCGCAGTCACAACAGTCTGCTTCAGAAGTTATATGCAGGAGGCACCCCTGCCCTGGGTCTCTTAAGTATAGGATCTTGGAATGTGCGGGGTTTGCAATTAAAAAATGGGCAAAGGATATAAACAGGCACTTTGCCAAAGAAGATATTCAGGCGGCTAACAGACACATGAAGAAATGCTCACGATCATTAGCCATTAGAGAAATGAAGATCAAAACTAAAATTAGAGATCACCTCACCCCAACAAGGCTAGCATTAATCCAAAAAACAAAAATAATAAATGCTGGAGAGGTTGTGGAGAGACGGGAACACTTATACACCATTGGTGGGAATATAAAATGGTACAACCACTTTGGAAATTGATTTGGCGCTTCCTTAAAAAGCTAGAAATAGAAGTACCATACAATCCAGCTATCCCACTCCTTGGAATATATCCTAGAGAAATAAGAGCCGTCACACGAATAGATATATGCACACCCATGTTCACTGTAGCACTGTTCACAATAGCAAAAAGATGGAAACAACCTAGGTGCCCATCAATGGATGAACGGATTAACAAATTATGGTATATCCACACAATGGAATACTATTCAACGATAAAGAACAATGATGAAGCTGTGAAACATAACATGGAGGAAGCTGGAGGTCATTACGCTGAGTGAAGTTAGTCAATCACAGAAGGACAAATATTGTATAAGAACACTATTATAAGAACTCAAGAAAAGGTTTAAACACAGAAGAAAACATTCTTTGATGGTTATGAGGGTGGGGAGGGAGTGGGAGGGTTATTTACTAACTAGACAGTAGATAAGAATTATCTTAGGTGAAGGGAAGGACAGCACACACTACAGGAGTAGTCAGCACAACTGGACTAAACCAAAGCTAAGAAGTTTCCTGAATACAATCAAACACTTTGAGGGACAGAGTAGCAGGGGTAGGGGTCTGGGGACCATACTTTCAGGGGACATCTAGGTCAATTGGCATAACAAATCTTATTAAGAAAATGTTCTGCATCCTACTTTGGTGAGTGGCATCTGGGGTCTTAAAAGCTTATAAGCAGCCATCTAAGATGCATCAATTGGCCCGAACCACCTGGAGTAAAGGAGAATGAAGAACACCAAAGACACAAGGAAAGTAGTAGCCCAAGAGACAGAAAGGGCCATATAAACCAGAGACTTCATTAGCCTGAGACCAGAATAACTAGATGGTGCCCAGCTACCACCAATGACCGCCCTGACAGGGAACAAAACAGAGAGTCCCTGATGGAGCAGGAGAAAGTGGGGTGCAGAACTCAAATTCTAGTAAGAAGACCAGATTTAATGGTCTGACTGAGAGTGGAGGTACCCCGGAAAGCATGGCCCCTGGATTCTTTATCAGCCCAGAACTAAAACAATTTCCAAGGCCAACTCTTCAGACAGGGATTGGCCTGGACTGTGGGACATAAAGTGATACTTGGGAGGAGTGTGCCTCTTAGCTCAAGTAGATACAAGAGACTAAATGGGCAGCTTCTGTCCAGAGGTGAGATGGGAAGGCAGAGAGAGTTAGGAGCTGGTTGAATGGACATGGGGAATCAGGGGTGGAAAGGATGAGTGTGCTGTCACAGTATGGGGAGAGCAATTAGAGTCACATAACAATGTATGTATAAATTTTTATATGGGAAAAATTAAAAAAAAATGTGCGGGGTTTGGATGGGCAGAAAGCAAAGGGGACAGCAATGTGTGTGAGAAAAGGGACACAAAGGTACAATGGTGAGTACTGCAAAGTGTCTTCAGCACACATTGTGCACACTTACCGGTCTTGTTGGGTCTGTCTCTGGAACACTGAGACTGCATAGTTGGGTTGAGGCCACATCGCAGAGGACCCTGAATACCAGGTTATGGTGTATGGACTGAATCCAGCAGAGACTATGAACTAACATAAATAAACAAGTATTTTAGGAAAGCTAATAAGGGCACTTGGCCTCTTAGGAAGACTAGCTGCAGGAAGCCTATGATAAGGGCCTATCAGCTCTTACCTAAATCCTGATTCCTTCCTTACTCTAAACTCTTTCAAGGCCAAACTCATAACCTTCGCAGGCTCCCTGGGCCAATACCCAGTTCACAATGGTCTCATTTTCTGAACTTCAACATTGTTTACTGTTCCACAGCCTCTTATAGATAACTATTGCAACTCTAAGCTTGTGGGTGGGCAGGTGTTAGGTTTTCTTTCAACTTAGTCTCAACATCTAACAGACTCATAATAAATACTTGTTGAGTTAAAAATTAGCCTGAAAACATAACTGGAAGGTTAAAGGTGTGAAAGGAAATCCCCCAAACATAAGCCGTCTCAGAGCCCATGATGTGGATTAACTAAGCCTTTATCTTCCAGTTAAATAATCCAACTCCATTTTTTTTAATGGCCAGACATACACTAGATAATGGTGGGATGGCAGGTTGAAATAAACATGTTGATATGAATAATTTAACCTCGTTTTCCATCAGCATGCTTGTCTACTGTATTCCACAGGCAAGGCACCCTCTTGAAGTTTATACTTTGGGTGGAAAAGGCATCTTACTAATGATAAGAGAGCTTGGGTAGGGTGGGAGTCCCTGGGTGCTGCAAACAGTTAATGAGCTCAGGTGCTAACCAGAAAGTTAAAGGTTTGAGTCCACCCAGAGGTGCCTTGGAAGAAAGGCCTAACAACTTACTTCTGAAAAATCAGCCATCGAAAACCCAGTGGAGCACAGTTCTACTTTGACACACATGATGTCACCATGAGTCAGAGTCAAACTGACAGGCAACTGGTCTGTGTGAGTTGAGGGGAGGAGTCCACTCTTTTCCTGGTTTTTGTGGCATGGGTTATACTAGGTTGGGTTCATTCATTTATTTATTTACGGAACATTTACTCAGCTTCTCCAAAAGCCAAGCAAGTTAACAGGTGCTGGAATGACAGCTCCTCATGACTTAATGCTATAATAGTGCTGCTGCATGCTTGCTCCACAAAGTCAAAGAGGAAACATTAGTTATGGGATTCATTTACATGTGATAGAGATTCAGGTTTAAAAAAAATAAAAAAAAGATCAATCTTGCACCTGATAAATTCTAAGTAGAAGGTTAATCTTGTCCATCTGGTCTTAGACCACTGTTGAAAGGACAAAAGTTTACACAAAGATAAGCCAGCTAGATCCTTTCCTCACCCCTGGTCTTTCGAGGCTCCTGCTCTGGGGATGGACACACAGACTCCAAGGACATCTGTGCAAGAAACTTCTCCACGGGCTGGGTCCAGTCTCCGATGCTATTCCAACTCTGAGATCTTTTCTAAAATTTCTTCTGGACACGGCACAAGGGATAGACAGTCACTTAAGGCAAGGGTGACGCTGTCCCAAGACAGACTTCCAACCTAGAAAGCATTCGAAGCTTTATTCTTTCTCCAGGCACGATGGGCAAAAGCAACGACCCATGACCGCTCGCGACGGTCGTGGCCGAGCCGAGGTGCAGCCAAACCATTAGAAATGCCAAGAGCGGCCTCTGGCCGCCGGCGGGCGGGCGCGGCTCCCCGACCTGCGCTGTCCACTCAGAGACCTGGACATGACGACACTCACCCTACCCTGTAAGCAGGGAAGGGCACACTAGCCTGGACACTGAGCAGGGTTCCTATAGCCTCACCCAATCCCACCAGGAGTCCCGGACGCTAGGGCTCTGCCGCTTCTCTCAGCCAGTTCTTCGCCTCAGACCGAGCTTCCGACCACGACTGCGCGGAGCCCTGGACCCTCCTACTCTGGGCGGGAGACGCTGAGCCCCTGACACTGTTTGAACCCGCTTCGCAGCGTGTCAGCGACTTCTGTCTCCAAGGAGAGGCAATTAGAAACTCGGGTTCCTCTGCACACACTTCCAGGTCCCATCTAGGCGTCTCGGAGGCCAAATCTCGGTCATGGGTTGTTCTCTGGTAGCCTCTAGGGGAGCTGGGTCAAGGTTCTCCCACTGGCTGCGGATACAGAGGGGCGGGGGACTCCGTCGGCATTTGCCCTTCCCTGCCGAGGGAGTGAGGAGCTCTGGTGGCACGGCAGTTGGGTTTGCCTGCTAACCAAAAAGTCGGCAGTTCTAACCCGCCAGCTGCTCCTTGGAAACCCTATGGGGCAGTTCTACTCTATCCTAAAGGGTCGCTGAGTCAGAATCGACTCGACGGCAACGGGTTTGGTTGGTTTTTTTTTTTTTTTTTAAGGAGAGTGAAAACCAAAAACCAAACCCGTTGCAGTCGAGTCGATTCCAACTCATAGCGACCACTATAGGAGAGTAGAACTGCCCCATAGTTTCCAAAGACTGCCTGGTGGATTCAAACTGCCGACCTTTTGGTTAGCAGCCGTAGCTCTTAATCACTACGTCACCAGGATTTCCAGACGGGAGTGAAGGAAGATGGAAATCGCTTGAGTGGGCCTAGACTCTTCTGTAATTTGGTTGTTTCCTTCTTTCTTCCCCTCACTGTCCCGCATGCTCCCCATTTGGCTTCTCCCTCCCTGGGCGAACTCCTGTGCCGTTTTACCACTCTTCTCCACTTCCATTCGTCATGATCACAAGGCAGGCGGATTCTGCTGGACCTCTTTATCCATCACCTCAGTCCAACCTAACCTCTCTTTAATCCTTCAACCCAGCCCCTCCCAGCTTTGCCAAAGGGAAAATAAAATAACAAGGAATATATTAGTACCAATGGGCTGAAAGATGAAGAAAAACTTATTAAAGGTCAAGATCTAAATAGCTTGCTGCACCTAAGAGATGGGTTTTCCAAAGGCAGATACGATTTGTTGAAGACAGAGCACAAAAAGAAAAAAGTTAAAGATATCAGTTGTTCATAAGGGGAGTTTCCTGCTAAACGCAGAAGTAACAGCTACCAGTTAATGAGCATTTAAGCTGACATTATTTCATTAATCCTCATGACAATCCTATGAAGTTGGTACTTTTTACTATTTTATATGCCAGAAGCTGCGGTTAGTAAGCAATAGAAGCAGCATTTGAACTCTGGCCTGTTCAAACCAGAGCTCAGGCGTCTATTACCACCTATGAAGGACAGTGGAGGAAGACTGTGTGATTTGTTAATCGAGCAGTTAAGATACAAGAAAAACACTTCTAATTATGCCCAAGTTGTAAAATTACAAACCTGAATGAAATACAAATATGAGGTTAACTATTTTCTAAAAGTGAAGAACGAATGGGAAGTATTAGTGAAAAGAAAAAAAAAGTTCCAAGAGTATTTATTTTCTTGTTGAATTGTACAGGGCTCTGTCTGTTTGAAATCATAGTTTTGAATAAACATTGTTTCCTTCATACAGTCATATTTTGGAGTATAAAATACGATGCCATATGATACCAATGGAAGAAAGAAAGAAGACAGATGACAATTTGCTGAGTACGTCTCCAGAGGCAGTTCCTACCACAGTTCAAGATGTCTGATCATGTGTCTAGTCACATGTAAGTTTGCTAAATCCAGAGTATTCCTCCCTGGACAATGCTGGTCCTACACTACGAAGTGCTTGCTCATTAATTCCCTCTTTCTTAGGTTTTATGCTAACTATCCCTCTTCTATTATTGGTTGTTTTAATGTATTTGTATTAATAACTTTTTGAGCACTGTGTGTCCAGTACCTCTTACATTAATTATCCCATTTAATTTCCATAATGCTATTATTATCCACATTGTATAGGAAAGGACACTAGAGAGGTAACTAAAATTTCCAAGGTCACACAGCATAGCAAAGCTCAAACACAAGTATGTCTAACTCTAAAGACATTGTTTAGACTACTACTCTCATCTGTTTTAGTAGTCTTTAATCAATGGATAGTTTAATTCATTTGATTAAGTTAACTATATTTACTGGCTAGCACTGATTATCATGTTGTTCTTAGTGGCCATCAAGATGGCTCCAGTTCATGGCAACCATATGTACAACAGAACAAAACACTGCCCGGTCCTGCACCATCTTCACAATCGTTGGTATGCTTGAGTCCATTGTTGCAGCCACTGTGTATTTTGAGTGTCTTCCAACCTAGGAGGCTCATCTTCCAGCACTGTATCAGACAATCTTCTGCTGTGATCCATAGGGTTTTCATTGGCTAATTTCTGAAGATTGCCAGGCCCTTCTTCCTGATCTTAGTCTAGAAGCTCAGCTAAAACTGACCCATCATGAGTGACCCTGATGGTATTTATCAGTGGCATAGCTTCCAGCATCATAGCAGCACATAAGCCACCACAGCAGGACAAACTGACAGACAGGTGGTGAACTAATTATCATAGTGCCTGGCAATTGTATTACTGAATGAATGAATGGATGAATGGCAAGATTACATTTTTAGATGCAGAAATTCCATTGTGCTTTACTGAGATGACACTCTAGGGACTTCATCCGAACTTTGTTCTTAAACCTCCTCAGTTATCCATGTACTATTTCCTAAGGTGAGGAATTTCTCCAAAGAGCTCACCTATTCATTACCTTGAAAATGCCACATTTTCGTTTGTAGGCCTTTTGACGTGCTATCCCCTTTGCTTAAAATAATCTCCCTGCTTCTCCCCCAGTGTTCCTCATCTCTCCAGTCTACCCCTATCAACTCTTTTGCTCAAGCCAAAAGCCTAGAAAACAAACTTGATTGTTCCTATTACCTACTGCTTTGTTGAACTGGGGTAGTATAACTGGTGATAGTAAACCTTGGTAAGGACACATGAGCATTTGAGCAACCTCTAGTTACCAGAAGAAATTAAGAGCCCATTTGGGGAATAGTAAGTTTGAGAAGTGGAAATCTAGTGCTAGAAAGGGTGATGTCTTAGCAGGAAATATCAACTTGGGAGCTTCATCCTATGGCCTACCATTCTCAAAATTCTTTAAGTCTGTTTCAAGGATGGGGTTTGACCAGTCCTTAAAAACAACAACAACAACAACAACAAAAAAAAACAACTAATGTTCTAGCTCTCTCCTGGCAGCCCAAAGAACTCTGGGAGCATTTTAAATCAGTTAGCAAACTGATAATACTGAATCGTTGGAGACGCAATAGAGAATGAAGAGCATCAGAGACAATGTCCCTTCTCTGGGTTATGTGTCTAATACCAACATCATAATGATGGAAAGTTTTAGAGTCAAACATAACTTAATTTAACCCATTAACCTGCTGTGTGACTCTAACAAGTTCTTTAACTTCTCTACATTTCAGTTCCTCTGTAAACTGGAGATATCTCCCTTGCAGTTGCTATTGGAATTAAGTTGAATGTGTACATACACGTAAGTGTGTCTAAGTAGGTATGTAAATAAAATACTCCTTAGCTATTAGATTTCTTCTCTTCTCTCCCCTTCAAGACCAAAAAGCATTTACTAAGGATATAAATTCATATTATATTGAACCAATTTAATATCAGCTTAAAGTGGAAAGATCCTTGCCCTCAAGAGTTATTTTGGTTTCTCATTTTTTTAAATGCATTTTATTTATTAAGAAAACACATTCTGCCTAGTTCTACTGAAACCTAAACTAGTTTATGTACTGTCTATACCCTAATCGAATAACCCTTTAAATTCTAAACATTCAGCCACTGTTCTAGAAGTTTGTAAAAGAATAATGTTTGTATCTCTACAAAGAGTGATCCACTCTTGATGTGAAGCAGGTTTCAGGGAGAAACTGCATCATAGGCAATAAGGTGATTTCAAGATTCCAAAATGTTCTGGCTAAGGCCCTCAGATTTTGTTTGAAATAGATTCTCAGAATATCAAATGCACCTTTATTCAAGTACAAAAGCACATTCCTAAACCAAATGCATACATGTGACTTTTACATATTCTACTATTAAGAGATTGCTCACTCCTGTTTCACAGTTACCGTAAGTGACTATTGGCCTCTATTAGGGTGCATGTTCATCAACAGAAAGAAACATGCATTGTTCATTTAGATCAATTTCATTTACAGTCTTACCTTGCCCTGGTGAAATTCTATACTTGCTGATAGCAAAAAGATAAAACATAGTGGCAGAACTATCTTAGAGATTTGCCACAAAAGGTTTACAGACTAAGCAATAAATTTTTGTTTGTTGAAGATTCCTAATGAGTATTATGATACCATCAGAACTATGAAGACCTCAATTGTTACACTGACAATTAGAATTTTAAATAACATTTGTCTTATTCACAAACTACTGTGAAGCTTAAGATGGAAAAATATAAAAAAAACCTTTGATATCACCTAAAGAATCACAAACTCTTACTAGGTGTATGACCCAAAAACCCACTGCCATTGAGTCGATTCTGACTTATAGCAATCCCATAAGGTTTCCAAGGCTGTAAAATCTCTACGGAAGCAGACTGCCACATCTTTCTCCCGCGGAGCCGCTGGTGGTTTCACACTTCCGAACTTTCAGTTAGCAGTCAATTGCTTTAACGACTGTGCCACCAGGACTCAGTGACCCTGAATTCTACAGCCATCTGTGATCACTTTTATCAATCAAAAAAGCCATGTTCCTTTATATGGTCTAGATTCTAGTTTAAAAAAAAAAAAAGTGATGAAGAATAAGCAATTATACATAAAGTCCCCAGTCTTCAAATACTGAACTGGATTGATGAGGAATGATTGTAGGGGGGAGGGGAGGAAGTGGAGATCCAACAGATAATAGAGTAATCCCATACACAATAGTGGAACAATTTGCCACTCTTCTTGAAATACTGTCTCTAGAGACATTACATAAGAAAGCAACATCTTTGTTGGAAGGTTGCATTCCCTTATGAAACTCTCTGATTTTTTCAACTTGTTTTGCCCTATCAAAAGCAAACCTGAGCATTCTACTAGCCTTCAAAAGAAACATAAAAAAGATTTCTAAACTTAGGCATGCAAAACAGGCAATACATGAATGCAGCTGGGCCTTGTCTCCCTGTGTCCTTATCATCTCTTCTGGAGGGCTGTGAATGCAGACACAGACAAGGCAGCTAAGAAATCAGGCATCAACTGAAAACGTTTCAGCTTCCTGCCCCAGATGCAGGGGAGACAGAATACTTCATGCTCATCCATAGACAGGATACTGAAACCCAATTATTTTAAAAGATGCTTTGCTTTAGGAAAGAAGACACCAGAACAGTAACATCAATTAAGGACAGTATCCCTGCTGGTAAAAATCTTAAAGCTAGGAAACTATCACTTAAATGTGCTTAATGGAGAAATCGACATGAACTCAAATGTGGCTGGAAAGGCATAAGACATAGTTCTTAGAAAAGAGCAAGCCTAAGAGTCTGTTTAGAGAGAACCTGGGTTGGGAGCAGCAGAAAAAACTCAATGAGCTCCCTTCCAGAGGTTGATGTGTTTTAACATTGGTGCGTTAATATTAGCACAGGGAAGTTGTGAACAGTAAGAACCAATTTCAGGAAAAATAAATGTTTACAGTCTATATTAAAATAAAAATAGCTTAAGCAAGTCCCATAATTAAAGTGTATATACTCACTTAAAACATCTATTATATTAAAGTAAAAGAATGCCATAAGAAACAGCACTGCACCCACGAGTCATTCCTCAGGCTAGATTCTTCTGCAATGAATAAGATCGGGACTATGCACTACTGATTTCATATCCAAATAATCAACAATTTTCTCTCCAACATGAGTTTCGTGATGCTGAGTAAAGCCTTAAATATGGTGGTAAATTTTTCCATTTGCATTACATCAGACTCTCATCTGGTATGGATATCATTTGCTGATGTCAGATGTATCTTAGCTGAAAGCAGAGAATACCAGAAAGATGTTTATTGTGTTTTATTGACATGCAAAGGCACTCAACTGTGTGGATCATAATAAATTATGGATAACGTTGCGAAGAATGGGAATTCCAGAACACTTAATTGTGCTCATGCGGAATCTGTGCTTAGACCAAGAGGCAGGTGTTAGAACAAAGGGATACTGCATGGTTTAAAATCAGAAAAGGTGTGCACCAGGGTTGTATCCTTTCACCATATCTATTCAACCTGTATGCTGAGCAAATAACCAGAGAAGCTGGACTATATGAAGAACAATGCAGCATCAGGATTGGAAGAAGGCTCATTAACAACCTGCGTTATGCAGATGACACAACCTTGCTTGCTGAAAGTGGAGAGGACTTGAAGCACTTACTGATGAAGATCAAAGACTACAGCCTTCAATATGTATTATACCTCAGTACAAAGAAAACAAAAATCCTCACAACTGGACCAATAAGCAACATCATGATAAATGGAGAAAAGATTGAAGTTGTCAAGGATTTCATTTTACTTGGATCTACAATCAACGCCGATGGAACCAGCAGTCAAGTAATTAAACAACGTATTGCATGGGCAAATCTGGTGCGAAAGACCTCTTTAAAGTGTTAAAAAGCAAAGATGTCACTTTGAGGACTAATGTGCGCCAGGCCCAAGCCATGGTATTTTCAATCACCTCATATGCTGCACAAGCTAGACGATGAATAAGAAGACTGAAGAATTGATGCCTTTGAATTACAGTGTTGGGGAAGAATATTGAATATACCAGACTACCAGAAGAATGAATAAACCGATCTAGGAAGAACTACAGCCAGAATGCTCCTCAGAAGTGAAGATGGTGAGGCTTTGTCTCATGTACTTTGGACATGCCATCAGGAGGGACCAATTCTTGGAGAAGGACATCATGCTTGATAAAGTAGAGGGGTCAGCAAAAAAGAGGAAGACCTAATGAGATGGACTGACACAGTGGATGAAAGAATGGACTCAAATATAGCAATGACTGAGGATGGCACAGGACCAAGCAGTGTTTCATTCTATTGTACACAGAGTCGCTCTGAGTCAGAACTGACTCAAGGGCACCTAACAACAACATGATGGATATTCTGGTGGTGAAAAAGACTTGAACTCCAACTGAAAGATCTGTCACATCTCAAATGACTTCTGGGTATGGATTCCTTGATAGGGAATGAGGGTTTATGACTGAATCTCCACACCACCACCACCACCCCCCGCCCCCTGCCATACACACATTACATTTATAGTCTTTCCACACAGCATGAATTTGATGAACAAGGTACATAACTGCTTTGACGGAAGGCTTTTTTCCTTTCTTTCCGTTATTGGATTTTTTTTCCGTTTTGATTTTTCCATTGTTGCTTAGGTTTAAAAAAAAAAAAAGCATGAAGCTTTCAACACAGTCATAGGTTTTCTCACTGGAATGGAGCTGCAGGTGTCAATGAAGAGTTTAACACTGACTAAAAGCTTTCCTATATTTGTCACTCATAGGCTCTCTCTCTGGTGTAAATTCTCTGATGCTGAAGAATGAGCGGACTACGTTCAGTCCATATGTGACTTTTCCGTAAGGTGGAACTCTTAGATGTTGAATAAGACCTGAACTTTGACTAAATGCCTCCCCACATTCACTACATTCATAAGGTTTCCCTTTGGTATGAATTCTTTGATGTTGAATAGAGTTAGCTCTCTGACTGAAGTTCTTTCCACTTGCATCTCAATCAAAGACTTTTTCTCTGGCGGGGACTTCTTGCTTCAGGATATGACCAGAGCTATGACTAAAACTTCCCTCATAAGCATTCCATTCATATGATTTATTTTTTCTATGAATTCTGTGATGCTGAACAAGGCATGAAAGATTTGATTGAAGGCTTTCCCACATTCATTACATTCCTATGGTCGCTCTCCCATATGAATTCTTTGATGCTGAACAAGATGTGAATTCAATCTGAAGTCTTCACATATATAGGGCTTTTTTTATGAAATGAATTCCTTAATGCTTAATAAAGACAACCTACAGTCATTGGACTCACAGGATTTCTCTCCAGTGTGGACCCTCTGATTTTCAATTAGCTATGAAGTTATGACAGAAGTCACTGCCACGTACAGTACACTTACAGGGCCTTTCTCTACTGTGAATTCTCTGATGCTGAGTCAGCTATACACTATGACTGAAGACTCTTTCACAATTGCTACATTTATAAGATTTTGCTCTGGTATGAATTCTCTTATGCTGAATTATGTCTGAGCTCTGACTATGGGGTTTATCAGATGCTTCACATTTATAGGGCTTTTCTTTCGGGTGTATTCTTTTATGTAGAATAAGATTTAAGCTTTGACTGAAAGATTTTTCACATCCTTTATATTTGTAGGTTTTTTTCTCTAGTATGAATTCTCTGATGTCTAGTAAGGGCTGAGCTCTGATGAAAGATTTTCCCGCATGCATCACATTTATAAGATTTCTCAGTGGTAGGAATACTTTCATATTTACTAAGATGGGAGATATCCATTAAGCCTTCCTTAGATTCACTACTCTGAAAATTATGTGTTAGATTTATTTGTGTTCAATAGCAACTGAATTCTGGTTGAGGCTCATGTCATACTTACATTTGTCATATTCTCTATTCTAAGAACTCTCTCTACTGTATCAAGGCTAAAGTCCAGAGTGAAGCATCTCTCAGGTTCATTACATTCACTGCTTTTCTTGCTGGTGAAGGTTTTCATGCTGATTGCTATTTTACTAAACTTTCTCTCCAGGGAGAGAAATTTCCTTAAAACTTCCTGAAGCCTTTCTAACCTCTCCTCAGGTTTACATACTTCTCTGGTCTCCGGAACTTGAGCAATATCCTGGTTGAGCCTTCCTACTCTCACCTTGTATGAATGTATTTCTGAAATTTTCTGCTTAGGAATCAACAATTTGTTCTCTTCACTGGTGTCTCCATCTGATACATAAATAGAAAATGCAAATATAATCTGTACCCTGTGCTTAGAATAAGAAAACTTAGAAAGGAGAAAACAAAATAAGCTAGTATCTACCAGGATAAGACAAGTTTATTTGCTCTGAAAAATAGCCACAAAATCTCAGCAACAGATGAAGTGCATGAACAGAAGCAGTAAGGTAGGATTCAGATGGCTCAGGGTGTAGTAGAAACAGATGGCACGGTCAGCAGGGTAAGAAGATAACCAATTGGGTGATTCAAAGGAGATTAATAGGGGAATAGTTCAAAACAAATATATGTAAGCAACTTGAACAGGGACCTCATACAACCGTGGATAATCAGGAACTAAACAGAGTCAAACTGAAGGGAAAAGGAAGGAGCTCTTCATTCTGACTATCAGAGAAACTACAACTTGTCTCAACAGTTGGACTTTACTTTCCTACTAATTCTATCTGATTGATTTTGCCTTACTTACCTGAGAAGCTGTCTCTTTAAGACTTCTCTATTCTTAGTTTCCAGATCAAAGACCTGTAGATCTTGCTCCAGCTGGGAGATCCCATCAGGCTTGAAAAATGGGAATCCTGCTCATAGAGAAGGAAACGGGATGTGGCAATCTCTCTCCAGATGTTATACTAGCCCCGTTTTCTTTCAACTAGTGGTTAATGGAGAGAAGGTAAATCCTTAGAACACATTAGGAAGGCCAAGAGAGTGAGAAGGGCAAAGATCCTCTACAAAGGTCTCTTATTTGTATTCTGCAAAGAGGTGTGTTAAGGGGCAAACTGATGACTTGGGAGCAGAAGTAGTCATTCAAACATTACTCAGACAAGAGATTTGTGAATGGGTGTGTACCTATCTTTACAGAAGTTATTATTACCACTTCTCATTTCTTGTCTAAAGATCAATCTTTCTATTGGACCTGGTCAACAACTATCAAAATGGAGGTCATCAAAATATAACTCTGCTGGACTGGAGAAAGGAGCATACTCAAGCACCTGTTGTATGGTGAGCTAAAATGCAGCAAGAGAAACAGTGAAGACTGAATAAATATCCCAAGGATCAATCTCAAGAAACAATTAGCTTCAGTGCACGTAAGAAAACAGAGTAATATGATACATCCTTACTTATTAGAAGCTTACGCTCTTGTTTATTCAAGAAACATTATGGAGCGTCTCCCATATGCAAAGTATATAGGGCATAAAGAGCCCTAGTAAATATAGTCCATCCCCTCAAGGACCTTACACTCTTAACTGCAGAGATAGATGTACATAACTAACTCTAATACAATATAGTGAGGAAAGTGTAATAAAAGTGCATCTTCACATAACATAGCCTTTATATGGCTTGCAAAATGGACTGGTAGGACCTAAATCTCTTTTAAAGCAAAAGCAACAGGCAGTCTAATTCTGAGAGGGCAAAACTATTATAGTATCAATGTGTTCTGCCCAGAAAGCTTCTAGTAACATACACACAAGATCTAGCTCAAGGCCCTCATCTCCATAAAGCTTTCTCTCCATCTGCTGAATGTTTACAAAATTTATTATTTGCTCTTTTTATACAGACCCATCACCATATAACAGAGTTTATGGTTTTTAAAAATTAGTTTCACATATTATCATCTCTACTTGATACATAAACCCTTTGATAGCAGGGACCATGTTATCTTGTACTTGTTTTGATTCATGTATTTCACAGCTACTCATTGAGTGCCAACTTTGTGCCCAAATGTCAATATATAATGGCTTCCCAGTTTTTGGGTTTTTTTTTGGAGCCCTGGTGACACAGTGGTTAAGAGCTTGGCTGCTAACCAAAAGATTGGTGTTCAAATCCACCAGCTGCTCCTTAGAAACCCTATGGGGCAGTTCTATTCTGTCCTATAGGGTCACTATGAGTAAGAATCAATTCAATGGTAATGATTTGTTGTTTGTTTTTAACCCAATTTTTTATAAAGGGCATTGGGCCTGGAAAATATGATTAACCAGTAGTTGCCCCCTTTGGATCCCATGGTGACAGTTGATGAGCAAGGAGGTAAGAACATATATAAGGAAATCATTTACTGTGTTTCTGAATTCTTGCTGAACATTAACAGTCAATTCTCATTTTGGACACTAATTTAGCTAAAGTTCTCCACATCAAATAAAATAGTTTTGCAAGTTAATAAAAAAGTCAGTGTGGCATGAAGTAGCAAGTATTGTTCTCAGAATTTTGGTAGCATATTTTGCAACTTTTAGCTTTGAGATATTTATTAAGGTGTTCCAAATTTTGATAATCAAAACAAACTTTGGTTATTTAATCTATATCATCTGCACATAAAACATGTACACACAACAAAAAAAGACTGTCTTTATGTGGGATGAGGGGTTATTAGATTTTAGACTTGTGTTAGAGGTAAAGTAGGAAAGTATAAGAGAAAATGCCTAGCAGGCAGTTAGAGATACAAGACTGCAGTTTAGAAAAGAGAACGGGTTTGAGATAGAGACGTCAAGTAGCCTGTATCATAAATATCATTAAAATACTAAAGTAAGGTTTACCAAGCACTTGGTAGGTGCTGAGTACCATGCCAGGATTTTAAAGATTTTATTCATTTTAATACTCGGCATAACTTTATGAAACAGGAACTATTATTGTACTCATTTTACAAACGGAAAAACTAAGATTCAGAGAACTAACTTGCCCAAGGTCAAAGTAACTGGTGAAGCTAGGACTCAAACCCAAAGTCTTATTTCAGGACTTGGCTTTTAAGTACTCTTCTAGTAACAAGTAATGGTTGTGAATGAAATCAATTCCTCCCCAAAAAAACTGTACAGAAAGAGCAGAGCAGAAAGCCCAACATATTGACAATGGAGCAAAAGGTAAAAATAACAAAAGCAGGAGAAAAAGTGATTAGAACAATACATGAAGAACCAGGATCCAACAGATTTGAAATTGTGGAATTTTTCATTAAAAGAGATGCATTTAATTCAGAGAAATGAAAATCACTTTATAATAAAAATACAAACCCCTAGGCAATAGTCAGAGCAATATTCAATTTGAGGAAATCCCAATATAAAGAAACAATTTAGACACTCTCTCGAAATTTTTGCATTAAAAAACTGGTTTATAGTTCTATCACTTGAAATCCTTTCCAAAACATTTAGGTAACTACCATGAGCCAGGTACTTACACACATAATCTAATTTAATCCTTAGCACAACCCAGAAAGGTAGACCTTATTTTTCACGTTTTATAGATGAAGAAAATGAGTGTCAGATTAAACAACTTGCTAATGTATCACAGCTGGTAAGGGGAACCAGGTCTGATTCCACAGTCTACATCCTTTCCAATCTGTCACACTACCTGTCTCAGAAAGCATTAATGGCAGATATCCTGACACTGGCCTGCATACCTTTTTCCTAAATTTAACTCAAAACTCTATCCTTTAAAAATCTGCACTTGCTTTAAAATTTTCCCATTTAAAATGACTTGATTTAAACACTGACAATTTTCTAGTTAGACTTATTTTTAATTTAATTTGGTCTTTAAAAATAACATTTAAAATTCACCACTTACCAAGGCCCATTATCTGGTTTGTTGCTTGTACCAGACTCGTGCTAAGATTTTTATCCATCTAGACGCTTCCTGTCTTTCTTCCTGGTCCTTAACAAACATGTAAAATCTCTCCTTAGCAATATCTTTGTTTCACAGGTTATCTATTATATTGGATTTTACGCCTAGATTGTTTTATATGATTTTGTATCTTCTTGAATGCATGTCCTTTTTGGTCCCAAACTGTACAACCTTGTGCCTATGTCTCCAATTTATCATGGCTATTTGGAATTTTTCTTGTATCAGAGTACCAACCAGTTGCTGTTGACTCTGACTGATGGCAACTTCATGTGTGTCAGAGTAGAACTGTGGGTTTTCAATGGCTAATTTTTCAGAAGTAAATCTCCAGGTCTTTCTTCCAAGGAGCCTCTGGGTGGACTCAAACCACCAACTTTTGGTTAGTGGCTGAGCGTTTACCATTTGCACCACCCAGGGACTCCTCATCAGAGTACAGACAACCCATAAAAATATAAAAAACACCATACTTGTCTGGACTAATTGTCTTACAAGCACAATGGTGAAGAAAAAAAAAAAGCACAGGCTTCAAAGTCACAGCTAGGTCCCAATCCTAGCTCTGATCCTGAGCAGATCACTTCTCTGAGCCTCAGTTTCCTCATGCATAAAATAGGAAGAATAATATCTGCTCACAGTGTTATGGCAAGGATTAAATGAGACATGTACAGTATCTAATACATATTGGTTTCTCTGTAAACAGTAAATAGCTGTAGCAGTAAGACATTTTGTGCAAAATCACTTATCCTCCATGACATCAACTTCAAATAGCAAGGGATATGTACAAACATTACTGATTTATCAACCCACTTATCATCAACTAGAATTTTGATAACATGTTTCTAATGCCATCATGTAATAGGGTACCTGAGCAACTCAAGAAGCCCTGGTGACACAGTGATTAAGTGTTCAGCTGCAAGCCAAAAAGTCTGTGCTTCAAACCCACCAGCAGCTCCACGGGAGAAAGATATGGCAATCTGTTTCTGTAAAGATTACAGCCTTGGAAACCCTATGGGGCAGTTCTACTCTGTTCTATAGGGTCACTCTGAGTCAGAATCAACTCAACAGCAACAAGTATGCAACTCAACATCCGCATCCAGTTTCCTCTCCCGGCACAAAATCAGGTAACTTCCCTTCAAGTATGACCCAATGAGTTACTTGCTCATTGTTAATATGCTTCTTTTAAGAGCTGGTAATGAAAATTATGACTTTTTACCTTCTTTTTTACTGTTTCATCCAATTTTTTTATACTCTGTATATTTACTGTTACATACTGGAAGTACTTCACCAATGGGCTAAAGTTCTGACAAATACAATCTAATGGCATACTATACTATAAGACTGCATTAAACTGCTAAGAAATTTCTTTACTCCAAAAAGTAGACAGGTTAACTGTTGGAAATTCTGTAATTACGTAAAATTGACAGTAGTTTACAATTATATATCATTTTATAGTTTACAAAATTGTTAAATATATATTCAATTTGATACCCTGAAATAAAGAAATTTATTAACTCTTTTGCCCTCCCATTTCCCCTCCATCAAGGACAGGGCTAAGGAACACTTGATTAGGAAAGGTAACATAAATGTATCACTGAAAAGCACCACAAAGAATAAAGGGGAGGAAGGCAGGACCTTGGAGATAGCCACGGAGATTTAAAGAAGACTAGAACGTTAAATATGAGGAAAGCCCAGAGGTTGCAGCAGTTAGGCAATATAAAGGGCGGGTCACATACACTCCAAAAAAGGAGAGACACACAGCATATGTTCCACATTCTAAAATGACATGAAAAGATCATGACTGAAGAGGTGGAGTTGAACTTGGTGGTTTCTCAAAACACAAGGAGATGACCACCAACCGTGGTTTCTGAATAAACTGGGTTCAAAATGCATTGGGTTGCAACAGAAGCTTCCTTAGCCCTTTACATTAGAAAGTTAACAAAAGTCATTTGAGGGTTCGCAGTTTTACATAGTGGTGGCATCCTGGGGAGCGTCTATTCCATCGATCAAGTTTAATATCTTAACAATCGTGGAAACGGAGTTTCCGAGCAGGGATGAGCAATATTGATGGGAAGTCGATACTTGAGCCATCTCTTGGAGATTCCTGCTGAAAGGACTGCAAGGCTTTCTCCAGAGAAAGCACTTGCCTGGGTATGACTCAGGGCCGGGCAGGAATTCACATTATGTATCCGTGTGGTGGGAAGACGGAGAAGTATGCCTACAAAGAGCAAAGAGCCAGGAATGGAAAACACACTAAAAACTTTTCCCAGTGGACCGGCTGCCTCCCCAAGGATAAGAAGACCTCTTGAATCCTGAGTATAATCAAGACCAAGCAATGCCCTGGATGCCACCAGCACAGACAATGGAAAAAATACAAAAGGTGGAGGAGTATGAATATATAAATAAAAGGAAAAGAGTAGAAACAGAAGCAGGTAAAAAAAGGCAGAAAAAGGAGAACCGCTCACATCAAGGGGGTGCAAATACCCCCCCACCGATGCTTGTCTACAGCACTACAGGTTGCCTAATCTCAGTTACCTATTGTACCATTAAAAATGACAAAGGAGAAAAAAAAAAATGACAAAGGACAGACATGGTTTAAGAATCTTAGCATGGGGTAAATGTCTAAGACTTCTGCTGCCTTGCGTGCCGTCGCTTGGGATTACCATACTGTCTGGGTGATTCACTGAAATGTACTCAGTGAGTCATACCTTTAAACGAAGTCTGTCAAATTCTGCCTGCTTAAAGATGTATTTGGAGAAGATTAATTTTAGCTTATCTTTTAAAAACACATTTATTCTCCTAGGAAACTCTCAGATACAGGGGCACTGAGACAGCAGGGAGGAAAGTATCTGGTTGAGGGTTGGGAGGCCCTACAGTCTCTCCTATTTTAAAAAAAAAAAAAAGCAGAAGATAGGGAAGGTGCAAATTTAGGCAAAGCACAAGCAAGCTGCCCTTTTCTAACAGGGAACAGATGCTCCCCAAAGTAGGAAAGGTTAACTGGGGATAAGGAGTAGAATGTCTGTTCTTGAAACTTCCAAAGGAACCTTAATTATCCCACTCCAAGATGAGCCTAAAGATAATTAGGAGGTTCTGAAGACCTGAAATATCAGCCACACTCTACTGACTTTCTCAGATACCTCACATCTACTCAAAAATAAGAAAATCTTAATAGGTAAATTGAATAATAAGGAAAAGAGTCCTTACCCAGTGAGACCACGTTCCCATAATTCTCTAACATCACTTCTCTGTAGAGATCTCTCTGAACAGGGTCCAGGCATCCCCATTCCTCTCGAGTAAGGTACACAGCCACATCCTCGAATGTCACAAACTCCTGAAATAACACATCCTGGCTGCTCTGGGGAATAAACCCACTATAGCACCATGGCAAGAGAACGAAGATGACAGAGAGGGTGCCCAATGTGTATTTATGTTGGGGAGGATAGAGAACAGATTAAGACTTAGGGAATAAGACCCATAACGCTTTAAGATCTAAAAAGCACCCATCACAGCACCATGGACAAAGAACCGATATAGGGAAGAATCATAATTGCTTGTGTTGTCCGGGATACAGGAAGGTGGTTTGTGTAAGGTCCAGGTCTCTAAAGAGGATCAGTTCCCAAAGCGTGCTCTGCTATTGAAAAAAATTCCAGACAAGGTTTACAAATGGAATGAGCGAGAGGCCACACTCAATCAGCAGCAACAGTCCCTGAGAAAAAGCAGAGTGTCCTCAGCTCACCTGGTACCTCGCTGTCAGGAGTGCAGCTGCCTGGTCTCCTGGGCTTCCCGAGTGGGGAAGAGCAGGTACCTGGGGAACAGGTGGAGCTGAGGGAGGAGAAAGGAGCCAAGAGTGAGAGCAGCCCTTCCCCAGGGCTCCCTTACAGAAGGCTCCAGCCCAAGGAGAGTCAGTGGGACACTTCTTCACATCAACTAAACCAGTGAACACTTATCGGGTATCAGGTATGTCTACACATCTGCACCTACCTGTGTACAAGATTTTATTATGAAATTTCATATTTCACTTTATCCTCATGACATGACACTCGTCAAACAGAGGGGAAAGCACCATACCTGTTTTGCAGATGGGCAAGGCAAAGCATGAAGATCTGCAGCAACTTCTCCAGGACCATGGCTATTTAGAAGACTACTGACCCTTTCCTGTAAAATTTCATTAAGCCTTTCTCTTGTGAAGAGGCACTGTCTCTGCAACTAGTGTGTAAGGTCCCCAAGAACAAGGAACATTCATCCCTACAATCCTTTCCACACTCCGACAATGTCCCGTAGCACTTTACACAGTGTCATTCAACCTAACTCAGGTTATTTTAGGCTCTGGAGTTGGCCATAAATGATCTAAGGCACAATTCTTATAAAGCAAAAGAACAAGAGAGAACCAACTTATACAATAATAAAAATGTGACTATAACCTAATATACATATGTATACATTCATACAGACTTTGTGCTCAACCAAGGTATTAAATGGTTGCTTTCTTGGTCAAAATTTGATTAAGTCACAAACACTGCAATTGCAACAGAATGGCAGGTGGTAAAGCACACAAGGTCATCAAGGAATGAGAATCTAAATAAACAGAACAGGGGAAGAGACAGGCCCTAAATCCATGAGGAAGTGAGGAAAATCTAAAACTGAGAGCCAAGCAAGGATTGTGATGTGCAGTAAAAGGATCGTATCTTAGAAATTACTCTAGATGTGGTAAATGGGATGAAGTGAAGGTTGTGTGAGGGAAAGCAGCCAGAGCAGAGTGACTACCACTTTGCTTATTAAAGAAAAATGGGCTGTCCTTAATAGAGAGACCCAGACCCTTATCAGATGGGCCCAGATGGGGGCTGAATTAAGTCACATCTGTTCCTCCCTTCCAGATCTCCCTCTAGGGGCCATCTTCTTACTTATGTTATTGGCCTCTCTCATACCAGGCCCATGGGCCCCTCTATGCTCCCATTCTCCTGAACGTAAGCACTTTCTCTGCCTTACCCCCAGTGGGTCCCTGTTCCATGTCGGTCTCCTGTACGAACTGAGGCTCTGGGGACAGACCCTCAGACTGGGTGTCCAAAGACTGAAACTGGACCCTTGGTGATCCTGCTGCTTCCTGGACCAACATTTCCTCCATCCCTGTTCTGGAGAACAATGACCATCACTGTGGGATGAGATTAGGAAAAATTATTGTAATAAATTAAAATATCCCAACATTTTATACTCTCAGGACTTAGCAAAGTATCTTACACACTATAGATACTCATTAAAAAATAGTTGATAATTATTAATGACCCCAAAATAAACAACGGAAAGACAATTGAATATTATTCCATTTCAAATATTTAATAATCAAACCAAATGGCCAAGTAGTCAGGATTATTTCAACTCCACTAATATTACAGTCGCTATGAGTAGGAATCAACTTGACAGCAACGGGTTTGGTAGAGGTAACTGAGAATTTGTGATGTTTCCAAAAATCAAGACAGAATGATTTAAACAGGTAAAAATTTCTGTAGAAATTTAAAAACATCCAAGGCTCAGGTTTGTACCCAGAGAAATACGCAAATTATTATTACTCATCTCTTCTTAAAAGTAAGCCCCTAAGAATTTACTTGGTAACACTGTCAGCCCACTTTGAATTACTAAATAGTCTTAACTACAATAAAACACTTTGGGGAGACCCTCCGCTAACTCAGACAAGGCGAAGAGGCCTTTCTCCACAATCCCGAGAGCGACAGAAGAAGAGCTGCCATTCAAACAGGTTTTATTGCTGCCCTTTAAACCCAAGGCCGTGACAGAGTTCCGTTCTCCTTCCACAACCTTCAGAAAGGGGCCTCGCAGAGCCCTCTAACCTGGTCCTCAGAAGGCCTCTCCCGGCGCTGCCCTCCTCCCACTTCCCTTTTAGGCGAAAACAGTCCCAAACGGGCGTGTCGAGTCACACAGCTCCAGCTCACATTAGGGTACAGTCACCGGGTCCTGATGGTAGGGCCCTCAATCCGCGGGGCGTCGGAGAGAACCGGGACTGAAGACAAAAAAAAAACAAAACAGACTCTCCCACCCCAGCTTCCCTGATCGCCCCTAGGCACAGGAACCTCCGTCACCCGCTGCCAGGTGCCTCCTCCGCCCGGGGAAGCAAAAAAAAAAAAAACAAAAAAAAGCACCACCCCCACCACTTGCCACAGAACTGCTTCCGGCTGACTCGCCTGAGCAAAGAGGCGGGGCGGGGGCGGGGCCGGTGGATGCCTCGACGCAGACGCCTCTGCCCAGGAAACCTCCCCAGCATTTCCGGGGCCGCTCTAGTCCGCCCGGAGGGGGTTCTTCTCGTTGACATTTCCGGCAGCGGGGTCTAGGGCCAAGGATGAGGGCGGGTTGTGGTGAGGGGCCCAAATAAAGGGTAGGGGCCGCCTGCTTGGGCCATAGGGATCGCCAGAGGTTGCGTTGGGCCTTGAGTTTTTTCCCGGGGTCCCTCATTACGGCCTCTGACTAGACATGGGCTCCTGAGGCTCGCTGGTGTGTCTTTTCCTTGTCTTTCCGATCCCACCTTCCTCCTTGTTTCCCCCCACGATGCAGTAACCACAACGGCCAGGATGTTGGGAAACCGCCCCTCGGCTTGCACTTCGTGACTCCAGCCTACCCTCAAGAGCCCCTGCAGGGTAGTGTCCGGAGTGAGGAAGAATTACAGTTCTAATGATCCGGTTTCCATGAGTGCCAGTCAGAAACTAGCACATAGGTGCCTGCACAGTGTACAGAATACACTGATTAATATAAGGCGAAGATTGCAGGCACCTTGGCGATATTAGGACCACAGAAAGTCAGGAGTTCGGAATCTACTAAGGTTATTGGGGAAAGATGTGGGGAGAGGAGGCAGTGAACAAGTTGGGATGGAAAGGAGAAACAGACTAGAAGAGAGCTGTTTCTGGTGGAAGGACTGTTGTTAGGTGCCTGGGGTGGATTTTCGACTCATAGGGACCCATGTGACAGATTAGAACTTCCCTGTAGGGTTTTCTAGGCTGTAATCTTTACAGAAGCTGGTCTCCAGGTCTTTCTCCCGTGGAGCCACTGGGTGGGTTCCAACCTTCAACCTTTCAGATAACAGCCTAGTGCTTAACCATTGTACAACCAGGGGTCTTTGGTGAAAGGACTAAAACATACAGAAACAAGGATGTGTAAGGTTCAGTGCATCTGGACAGGCAGGCACAGTACTAGGACAGAAGCCCTTAGTGTAAAAGAACACTGTAAAACTGAGTCACTTGGCATAACTGAAATGGCTGACACAGGTCTGAATCGGACTCCATTTTGTCCTGGGCCTCTGCTTCTGCTTTTTAGAGTATATGGCCTATGACCACACTTTTGACCTAGATAACTTGTTCCACAACATTCTGAACACTGCAGGAAACAGAAGAAACCAGCTCTGGAACACAGGAAACTGGCTAAAGTTGAGTACCCCATCCAATAGAAATTCTTGATAAATGAGTCTTATAGAGCATGTTGAGTGTCACCCAATCAAATGTAGCCTGGTACTCTTTCCCACCCCATACAAAGTTCCGATAAAAGACACGCACTTATGCTCCCTCTTTGAGCGCCATTTTGAGCTATCATTTTGGAGCTTCCTTATTTGCAAATCTTTGAATCTGAATATAACTCTTATTTTATAGAAACTCTGCTTTATTTTTAACAATTACTTGGTGTCAGAAGTGGGATCCAAGCAACAGCCTAGGGTGAAGGATCCCACTGAGCCCTTTAGGCTCTCCATCTCTGCAAGGAGCCTTTGAGGCCGTTTGGTAAGTCCTCTTGGTTTTAGAGCTCCATCTCATTACATTGCACCTCAGCTCCATTTTATTCAGGTTTTGGTTTGTGTCTGCAGACGTTTGTATCTGTCTTTTTGCATGGTCATGGGTTCTGCCAAATCTAAACCTACAGATTTCCCTAGTGGATCTCCTGCTGCATGTTCAAGACTTATGGGCCTTGGTCATGTTTGTATTTAGAACTCTGCCATGCCCTGACCAAAGACAATTTGTCTGACCAGTGGCCACTTCTGGCTTTGTTTGAATTGGGAAAATTGGTATATCTGACATCTACATTAGAGAATCGTATAACTAAACAAAAGGTTTAGTATGCTTATTTTGATTGGTATCTAGAAGTTTCTAAAAAAAAGTGTCAATGATTCTAAATTGGCTTTTCTGCAAGACAGGTTACCCAAATTAACCAAGATTCATAAGTCTTTTAAGGAGGAAACACAAGACAGTCCGTGAGTCCACTCTTTCTGACCCCTCTGCTCTTCCTCTGTCTTTGTACCCTACTCTCCCTCTGTATCCTGGAAAGGATCCTGGTCTGGCTGAAATTCTGTTTACAAATGATGATCTTCCTCTTGACCCTAAACCTTCTCCAGTGTCTCAGATACCCTTTAAGTTCAAACCAGTTGAAGAGTAAGTGAACAAACCCTCTGTAATTATTTTTTCTCCCTGGTCTAAGGCTGAATTAAGAACAATAGCTAAGGAGTTTCTGAAACCCATCAAGAACCCTCAAAAATTTAAGAGGAATTGTGCATTTTAATTCAGGCTTACCAACCTGGTCTGGTTGATCCGTATCAGTTAATCTATATGCTAGTTGGATTAGAAGAGGCACAAAATTGGATTAGTTTCACCAGCTGGGAAGAAGCTGATAAATTAGTTGATCCCAAAAATCATGTCAATTCAGCAGCCTATTATGATAAATCAAAGGATGTTGCTAAAAACAAACAAACTACTATATGCAATTCCATAGGGTTTTCCCTGTAAAACTGATTAGGGATTCAGGAATGCAAACAAGAACCTGGTATAACTTTAAAGAAAGGCTTACCAAAGCTTTCTCTAAGCACTCTGGTCTAGAGCTTACAAATGGCCAGAATAGCTGTCTATTCTATGTT